ATTTATATATTTTATAATAAATAAGACAAAAAAATTGGATGAACAGGACATTTTCAAACTCTACCAAAATGGGTTAGATTTATATTCATTTATGTGACCCTCTATTTATTACTTTCTGTATGCCAATGACTGATAATCAACTTTGATCTCAGTTTCTATTAGGTGACTCTTATAGATAAATTTAATATATTTAGAGTTTGTATGTATGTGTTTATTATTGTAGGATCTTGTGGTTGAATGGGATCAAAACTTGACTCTCTTCTCTTATACTCTTGAGGAATGGATGAATTGTCAAAGAAATTGGCTTTATCTTGAACCAATCTTTCATTCTTCAGAAATACAAAGGTAAAATACTTAACCTGTATCATATACAGGTTAAAAAATGCATGTTGTTGTTGTTGTTATTTGCCATTGAGTCAGCCCTGACTCATAGTGGGTTTCCAAGGCAGTATCACTATGGAAGTAGGAATGCCCAACCTTCCTTCCGAGGAATGGCTGGTGGGTTTGAACCGCCAGCCTTCTGGTTAGCAGTCAAGTGCCTTAGGCACTATGCTACCAGAGCTCCTAAATGCATGTTGTTGTTGTTGTTATGTGCCGTGGAGTCAAACCTGACTCATAGCGACCCCTCCTTGGGTTTCCGAGGCAGTATCACTACGGAAGTAGGATTGCCCAACCTTCCTTCCGAGGAGTGGCTGGTGGGTTTGAACCGCCAGCCGTCTGGTTAGCAGGCAAGTGTCTTAGCCACTATGCTACCAGAGCTCCCCTTAAATGCATAGTGGATAATTTATTTTCTGTAAACTTGAGAATTCATTTCTCCAAGGAATACTTTAAAACTATCCTACTTACTTTATAATATGCATAACTTGTATGTAAATATCCTATACCTCATATAAGATATATAAAATCTTATGAAAACTTATTATATTGTACCATTCTCTGGCACTTTTTATAAGATACTGGATTTATGTCTAATTTATCCTAGTATTTTCTACCCTGTATAACACTTGCACAAAATAGGCACACAAAAAATATCCTTCATTAATGATTTATCAGCAAAAATATAACATAGAAACATGTTATAAATTAAATATGAATACAATATGAAAAAACTGTCTAACATGAAAATTCTGTGACAAATGCATTTAATATACAGATTTTAATTGAAGTATCCCCCAAAACTGCAACTGTTTCTAATTTTATTTCTAAAGGCAGCTTCCAGCAGAAGCAAAACTTTTCTCTAAGGTGATTGTCATGTGGAAAGATGTAATATCAAAAGTACAAAACAAACTGAATGCTTTGCAAATAACCACGTCTGCAGGAGTCCTTGAAATTCTGAAAAATTGTAATACACATCTTGAAAAAATAAAGAAAAGTCTTGAGGTAAAATTACAGTAATCCTAGAGTGGAGAATTAATTCATTCTAGAAAATGTAATGTTATTAACTGCAGAAACTAATTACAACACAGATTTTCTTTTTTTATTTTACCTTCCAACACTTTTTCAAACTTTCATCATCTATAGTGCCAAAGAAAATACTTTTAAAAGGAAAAAAAAAAAAATAGATGGAACAATCTAAATGACCTTACACAAAGTACCTGAGTAGGTTTTCTCATCTTTAAATTGGAAATAATGGTAGTGCCTACCTTGAGGGCCTTTGTGTTAAATGTGATAATGCATTGAAAGCTCAAAAGTGGAACTAAAGAAAGTACTTAATTATTTTTACTAGCATTATTATACTTATTAAGTTAATAAATTCAAAATAATTTGATGATTTTATAAATTTAGTTCCATACATTTATTCATTGAAAAACTAAATTAAATTGTCGGCTAGACATACATATTGTTAACTAGCCTCTAACTGACTCTAGTGATGAAAGCCTGGGGGAAAGAAAAATAGTATTTTTTTTTTCAGGCATTCATAATTTTTCCTTGTTGAATACAAGTTACAGTGGTTCTGACGACGCCTCCAGTATATCTATCTAAGACAGTGCAGTCTGTAGAAAGTTCTCTGTCAAGGCAGGCCATCCTTATTATAAATCCTTGCTGTTTTTGTTGTTATGTGCCATCGAGTCAGACTCAACTCATAACGACCCCTCCTTGGGTTTCTGAGGCGGTATCACTACGGAAGTAGATTGCCCAACCTTCCTTCTGATGACTGGCTGGTGGGTTTAAACCACCAGCCTTCTGGTTAGCAGTCAAGTGCCTTAGGCACTATGCTACCAGAGCTCCTGTTATAAATCCATGCTCTGAGGCAATCATAAGGAGTCACCCAGAGTGATTCTCAATCATAATGGCTAGTTTATGGGACTGTCATTAAGATAGGCCTTTCAATTATTTCTAACATATCTGTGAACCATTACCAAGGAGCCTCATAAAACAGTAATCTTCCATTTATTCATGTGTGGAGCTTCCATTGTATACCAGGCACTGCTACTATGTGCTGGGACTAGAAAGGAAGGAAAAAAAAAAAAAAAAAAAACATATTCTCCACTATTACAGAACTCAAAATCTATTAGAAGAAACAAAATAAGTAGAGATATCACAATATGATAGTTATGGTAGGATAGATGGACTAATTACATCTAACAGATATATATAGAACACTTTATCCAACAACTGAACAATACACATTTTTCTCCAGTGTATATTGGTCATTCTCCAGGACTTACTATATGCTAAGTCTCAAAAAATAGCTCTGGTGATATAAGGGTTAAGGCATTTGGCTGCTAACCAAAAGGTTGGTGGTTCAGACCCACCAGCTACTCCATGGAAGAAAGATGAGGCACTCTGCTTCTCTAAAGATTTACAGCCTTGGAAACCCAACAGGGGTGGCTGTAAGTCAGAATCAACTCAATGGCAGTAAGTTGAGTAAGGTCACAGAACAAGCCTCAATAAGTTTAAAAAGACAAGTTCTTCTCTGACTTCAAAAGAATTATATTACAAAATAACATCAGAGGGAAACTGGCAAACAAACAAATACATGGAAATTAAATAACACATTACTAAAAAGAAAAAAAACAGTAAGTCAAGGAGGAAATTAAGAAATAAATTTTTAAAAAATATTTGGAGTTGAATGAAAATGAAAACACAAATCAAACTCTATAGGAATAGCAATAAATACCTGTATGAAGAGAAGAAAGATCTTAAACTAACACCCTACCTCTGTAACTTGAGGAACTAGAAAAAGAAGATTAAACTAAGCCTAAGTTTATCAAAGGAAAGGAAATAACAAAGATCTGAGCATAAATAAATGAAATAGAAAAATAATAAAATCAATAAAACTAGAAGTTAATTCTTTGAAAAGATTGATAAAACTAAAAAACCTTTTGCTAGACTGACAGAGGGAAAAAGAAAAAAGATACAAAAATCAAAATAAGAAATGAAAGTGGAGATATAGCAACTAATCCAACAGAAATAAAAGAATCATATCAGAATACCATAAATGTACACCAACAAACTTGATAACTTAGATGAAATGGGCATTTTTGTGGATGTTTACAACCTACCTAAACTGGGAAATTCTACCAAACATTTAGAGAAGAACTGACATTGATCCTGTTCAAACTCTTACAAAATGTGGAGAAGAGGGCAATATTCCCTAACTCTTTCTATGAAGCCAGGATTATCTTGATACCAAACCCATAGAAAGACACAAGAAAACTACAGATCAATACCCCTTATGAATCTCCCTTATATATACAAAAATTTCCTACAAAACACTAAGGAACAGAATCCAACAAAATGTAAAAGAGCCATACACCATGATGAAGTGGGATTTACTCACAGAATTCAAGTATGGTTCAACATGAGAAAATCAACCAATGTCGTACACCAGTCATAGGACAAAGAAAAAGAGTCATATGATCATGTCTATTGATGCAGAAAAGACTTGATAAAAATCCAGCACTCTTTTATTTATTTATTTATTTTTATTTTAAGAGTTTGTTTTACATTCAAGGTAAGGCATACATTTAGTTTCATTCCCCATTTGCCATGTCCAACTCTAACCCAGTTTCCTCCCCTCCCTACCCTGTAACCCTCCCTCTATGCACTCTGGTTTGTCCTGCATTTCCTCAATGTGAATGTTGGTCCTCTGGAGTCCCATGGTCTACTGCTCAAAGGGATGTATTACCATGGAGTATGTGGGTGGGTCATTCTGGGTTGAGTGGTCTACGTGTACATCTTGTTAACTGTTGGGCTGAGAGCCCACCCCGGGGCGTGAGTTTCATTCCAGGCACCAGATGTATTTCAGGGCCATAGTATTAGAAGTCTCACCAGATTTCATCTGACCAGTAATTCTGGTCATTATTGAGTTTTTGGATTTTGTTTCACATTTTCCCTCCCACTCTATCCAGGATCTCCAGATTTGATCCTTTCCTGAGTGGTTGGCATTGGTAGCCGGGCACCATCCAATTCTTCTGGTCTCGAGGACCATCGTGTCCTAGGGCTGATTGCTTCTTATTCTTCTTTTATTGCCCTTGGTTTTTTTTTGTTTGTTTGTTTGTTTTGTTTTGCTTTTTGCGTTCTTCTTCACTTCCAATGCTAGGAGACCATTAGCTGCATCTTAGATAGCTGCTTGAAAGCTTTTAAGACCCCAGTCGCTACTCACAATATAGGATGTGGAGCAACGCTTTTATGTATTCTGTTGTGCCAATGGAGTCTGGTGTCCCCCAGTACTATGGTCCTGAGGCTGTAGATCTATTGGATCTCTTTCCCATAGTGTCTGGTTGTCTGTAAGGGATTACTCTGTGTCTGTCTTACATTGTTTCTGTAAGGACTGCAGGTATTTTGTATCACTGGTGTCTATGCAAGATTAGCCTCAGTTGAATCTATCTTCTAAAGTATACTGCTGTTCACTGACCCCCATCTGATCTGATCATCTCAGGTGTTTAAGTGTTTCTGTATAGCCTAGTATTTGGTGTTAATGGCAATGCGGTATTGTGTACATACTGGTTGGTATTAGCGTCTGTCATTTATCTCTTATGTGCACAATTTGGTGTCCTCCCATTTCCTAATGTTATCATTGTGGTCATATATCCTTCCCATATATCCCTCCCCCTACGCATGTCAGCGTGTAGGCCCCAACTAGCCCGAAATTAATCCTGCCCCTTCCTTCCTCATCCCAGTAACATACTAGGTGAGTTCCCTTTCCCAAGCAAACCCTTCTCTGTCTTTTTATAGTAATGGGCTCATACAGTACTTGTCCTTCTGCGATTGACTTATTTCACTCAGCATAATGTCCTCCGGATTCATCAACGTTGTGAGATGATTCGCATATTCCTCATTGTTCTTTAATGTGGCATAGTATTCCACTGTGTGCATGTACCATAATTTGGTTATCCACTCTTCCATTGATGGTCATTTAGGTTGTTTCCATCTCTTTGCTATAATGAGTTGTGCTGCAATGAACATAGGTGTGCATATGTCTGTTCATGTGCTATCTCTCACCTCTTGAGAATATATTCCTAGTAATGGAATTGCTGGGTCAAATGGTACTTCTATTTTCAGTTTTTTAAGGAATGCCATACCATTTGCCACAATGGTTGTACCATTTTACAATCCCACCAGCAGTGCACAAGAATTCCAACATCTCCATAATCTCGCCAACATTTGTTACTTTCTGATCTGTTGAACTTTGCTATTATTGCTGGGGTGAGATGATATCTCGTTGTTTTGATTTGCATCTCTCTAATGACTAATGATTGTGAGCAATTTCTCATGTGTTTGTTGGCTGCCTGTATTTCTTCTTTGGTGAAGTGTCTGTTCAAGTCTTTTGCCCATTTGTGAATTGGGTTGTCTTTTTGGTGTTGAGGTGTTGAAGTTTTCCATAGATTTTAGAGATAAACCCTTTATCAGAGATGTCATAGGCAAATATTTTCTCCCAATCTGTAGGTTCTCTTTTTACCCTTTTGATGAAATCTTTCGATGCACATGAGAATTTAATTATTAAAAGATCCCAGTCATCTAGCTTCTCTTCTACCTCCTGCACATTCTGGGTTATGCTTGATAGTCTATTTATGCCATAAATTAGGCTCCCAGATTTGCCCCTTTTTTATCTTTGATGAATTTTATAGTTTTAGGTTTTACCTTTAAGTCTTTGATCTAGCTTGAGTTTGTTTTTGTGTATGGAGTGAGGTATGGGTCTTGTTTCATTTTTCTACAGGTGGATATCCAGTTTTGCCAGTACCATTTGTTTTAGAGACT